TTCCTCTGTCAGTGCGCCCCAGGGCAGCTGTGGCTACAATGTAGCTTGCCATCGCCAGTGTGTGAATGTGTGTGTGAATGGGTGGAGGACTGAATGTAGTGTGAAGCGCTTTGGGGTCCTTAAGGACTAGAAAAGCGCTATACAAATGCAGGCCATTTACCATTTACCATTTCCCTTTAATGTTCACAAAGAAGTCAGAAGTTTTTTTAACACTAACGGAATCTGTGCCATAAGAAGCCCTCTGACAATGAAGTCTCGTGAATCTGACATTCATCGTACCACATAAACACATTTTATCCCAACTAAACCCCTTCAAAATCACCTGCCTCCATGTGACTACAAAACAGAGGAACCGTTTCCAGTTTCAAAGCTAATCTTTCCGTATTTAACATGTCACTGATCTAATCGAAACACCGTCATCTCCTGAATCCCTGTGCATTTAGCCATTACAGTCGCAATTCCATGTTGTTATCGTTTATGTCCAAGACTACTGAAGTGGTCAGAGATTATTCCTGCAGCTGGCACTGCTTACAGCTGATCTGACACTGGTCGCTTTTAGGACTCTTCAGCAGCAATGTTTCTCCAACTATGGTCCAGCAGGCCAGAGACAATTCATTACAAACGCCCAGGAACAAAGACAGAGTCTTTTTCTTGAATACAACAGTCATACCACACCATGAAAAGCCTCTGTTGCAAGTTTGAATATTGCGTTCATAACTAGAATTTTTTTTGTACCTAAAACAACTCATTTGAATAATAGTTGATGGGATTGCTACAAAGCAACATATCACACTGAAGTATATGTTATTGTCAGATGTAGTCTCCATCATCATCATCATCATCATTATTTTTATTATTATTATTATTATTATTATTATTACAGAATAAATTAGAATAGATATAATATAATAGATTTTATGCCTAATGGCATTGACGGCTGCTCTCTCCATGTCTTCAATGGATCTTGAACCCCTCTGTTTTCCTTATGTACCGGTAGTTTCTTAGCATGATGGCTTTCCTGCAATGTCTAACATATTATGAACTACAGTTGTAAATATATGATAATAATCTGGTGCAAATCCTCTTCAGGTTCTGTTGGAAAATATCTCGGTCAAATTCAAACTTAATGATTTAAAAAAAACCTTTTGATCTTTAATTACTTATTATTTTACAGATTTTAAAATAGAAATTGACTAATATGTAATGCTGTGTTATTGCAGATAAACTTGTTGGTCTGGAGCAGCCTTCAGCTGTAATGCATTTAGAAGCAGATTGAGCACGAGCTGCTGTGTGTTTGAAGCTCATGTATTATTTTATGTAGCACTGCCACCTGCTGTTCAAACAGATGAACTACCAGATAAAGTAGGTAATCTTTTACAAATCAAGCCTCACTCATCCCTCCATCCTTACAGGCTCGTGTGCTGTTGCACCACAACCTCGTCACGCTTTGTTTCCACAAGAAAACAGTGACAGAGCTGGGACTAAAAACAACTCTCAATGCAAAAAGACTGATGTTAAGAAAATTATCGTAATATTCTGTTATTAAAACACACTGATACTTAAATGACAATGCAGAAGTGAAATATGTCTTAGCTGAACACAGACCTTCCTCTCTCTGCTCAAGCTGTACAAAACCCAGATAGGGTGTCCCTGACATGGGGGCGCTCCTGTGATAAACCACAGTAGAAGACAAAGTGTTGAGTGGAAGCAAGTTTTTAAACTTAGAATCAAAAGGTGTACTTTATTTTTTCAGTGATAGAGAAGCATAGAGAAGGTCACATGGAGTTGCACCGTCTTTGTGGATCTAGAGAAAGGATATGATAGCTTGCCAAGAGAGTCTTTTTCCGTGGCCTCTCCAAACTCCTCCCACACCCGAGGTTCTGCCTTAGCTACTGCCCGATCCGCGTTCCGGTTGGCCTGTTGTTACCTATCTGCTGCCTCCAAAGTCCCACAGGCTAACCAAGCCTGATAGGACTCCTTCTTCAGAGTGATGGTTCCCTTCACCTCTGGTGTTCAACATCTGGTTCAGAGGTCACCACAACAGACACCAACTACCTTGTGGCCGCAGCTCAATGCAGCAGCTTCAGCAATGGAGGTTCTGAACATGGTCCATTTGGACTCAATCTGATGATATGATTACAAAATCGATCATCAACCAGCGTCCTAGGGTGTCCTGGTGCCACATGCACTTGGTTCAAACATCATGTTTGCCCCTATGTCCAAACATGATGTTATGGAGAAACTGTGGTTTGCACAGAAGTCCGGTAAAAGAACACCGCTCGGGTTCAGAGCCTCTGACGGGCTGTTCCTCCCAATCACGCCCCTCCAGGTCTCACTGTCATTGTCCACTGAGTGTTGAAGTCTTCCAGTAATGACAGAGTCCCAAAGTGGAGTGTCCTCAAGCACCCCACTTAGGGACTCCAAGAAGACCGGGTACTCTGAACTGTTGTTTGGCGCATAGGTGTAGATCACAGTCAGGACTCATTCCCTGACCTGAAGGCGCAAGGAACAAATCTTCTCATCTACCGGGGAAAATGTACAGCCAGAAAGCCGAGGGGATATTAAGATACCCACCCCAGCCCGCTGTCACCAAGGGGAACTCCAGACTGAGACAGAGGCCAGCCCCTCTACAGGAGACTGATTCCAGAACCCGAGCTTGGTGGTGAAGCCCAACTATATCTAGCCAGTACCTCTCAACCTCATGCACTAGCTAGATTTCTTCCCCACCAGAGAGGTGACATTCCATGTCCCAGTCGCTAGCCTCTGTAGCCGGGGAACAGTCTGCCACGGGCTCTGCCCCTGGTTGCTGCCCAGCACATACACTGTACCAGACCCCTAAGGTGCCTCCTGCTGGTGGTGGGCCTACAGGAGGGTGGGCTCATGTCCCTTTAGAAGCTGTGCCCAGCCGGGCCCCATGTACTAAGGCTCAGCCACCATGCACTCGCTCTTGGGCATCCTCCCCGCGCCTCGATCCAGGGTGGGCCCCCGTTAACCCTATCCCAGGTAGGGTGAACCGCTCCCTTGAACCCTTCTCATGGGGGTTTTTAAAAATCGCTCTTTGTCTGGTCCCTCACCCAGGACCAATTTTCCATGGGAGACCCTACCAAGGAGCAAAAGGCCCCTGGCAAAATAGGCCCTGGGATCCCTGGGACATACAAACCCCCCACCACAATAAGGTAGCGATTCATGGATGGGGTTAAATTTTACTACTGTAAATGCTTTAATTAAGTACATTAAATTTATAAATACAATAAATTTATTGTTGGTCATATCATATTTTTATTATATTACTAATGTGTGATGGACACCAGTCTTGTGAAGCAATCACTAGCCAATCTTAACAATTACTGTTGGCTACAGAAATGCAGCCTAACAAACCAGGTGCAAAGTCTCATTGACATTAAAATGTGTTTTTAAGAGGTCTAGCCAAGAGAGCAGCAGAAAATGAAAGAAATATATCATCTCGGTTTTATAAATATATTTAAGGGACCAGAAGGACTGGGTTAATGACAATAAGGGTACAATTATAGAGTCATAAAGATACTTCAGAAACAGGTCTTTTTTTTATTTTACATTCGCTAAATGAACTTGCTATTAGCATTAGCTACAACTCCCAGCTGAAAACAAAGTGCCGTACGTACACTTGACATGACAAACAAAAAATGGGAAGCGCATTAAATTAAATTAAAACAATAATATCAGCACATTAGATTAAATTAAAGCAGTAAAATAAGGGTCAAACAGCGTTATAAGCCAAGGAATGAAATGGGTTTAAGACTTGTTTTAAAAATGGACAATGAAGGGGCCTCTCTAGTGTGCAGGGCAGGTTATTCCAGAGGTTAGGAGCAGCAATAGAGAAGGCCCTGTCCCGTCTGAGCTTCCTCTTGAACCTGGGTACCTCCAGAAGCAGCTTGTCAGCTGACCCGAGAAACCTAAGCATTCAGTAAGGATGAAGAAGCTCAGAGAGGTAAGGTGGGGCAAGACCATTTAAGCACAAGGAATCACAAGGTCCACTAGGACCAAACACAATCACCTCTGTTTTGCTTGGTTTACATTTTTAAAAAATTAGGGCCATTCAAGTTTTTATATCCTCTAGAAATGCCAAAAGCAGTTTAACAGATAAAGCATCTTTCTGCTTCAGAGGCAGATAAATCTGGCAGTTGTCGGCATACCAGCGGAAGGCTATTCCATCCCTTCTATGCATGGCTCCCAAAAGCTGTAAATACAAGGGAAATCCAGGGGCCCTAAAATTGAGCCCTGAAGAGCAGCAGAAAATTACTCATACCCTTAAAAAGTTAACACTAAAAGTTATGTCAGACAAATAAGACTCAAACCAATTCAAAGTAGTACCACGAATGCCTGCAAGATGGTGTAAACGAGACAGTAAAATGTTGTGGTCTACAGTGGCAAAAGCAGCTGCTAGGCCAAGGAGGACAAGAACAACATGATTACCAGAATCATAGGTAACGAAGCTATCACTAAATCTCCAAGATACCATTCTCATCAAAACAACCAATCAATTAGGAATATACATTTTCTCTATAATTTTAGACAGAAAAGGCAGCTTGGAGATAGGCCTGTAGTTAGCCAATACAGTGTGGTCCAGGGCAGGTTTCTTGAGCAGAGGTTGTACTGCATGCTAAAAATTAGCAGGGACTACACCGGATATTAAACTGGTGTTTGACAACACCCTGCCCTATGCTAGGCAACATCTCCTTAAAAAAATCGTGGAGGGGCAGGATCATTTGGTCACAGATGGCCAACCACATCCTCTAAATAAGAAAGAGTCACAAGCTCAAACTAGTCAAAAACAACAGAGCAGGGGATGGAGACAGAGGGGTCAGACTCAGGGGCAGAGATGAGAGCTTTTTCAATAAAAAAAAAAAAGAAAAAGAAAGACACATAAAACATTAGGTCGTTTATGAGAGGCCTCCAAACAGCCAATTTGTGGAGCATGGCATTAATGTTTTCACGAAACGCTCCAGGAGCAACAAACGCAGCTCTCCCGTCCAGTCTGTGGCAGTCACGTAGCAACTGAGAAAAAATGTTCGCAGTAGAAGAAGAAAAGCCGGAAGCGCTGCGGATGTTTTGGAAAACAGTCAGCTCTGGGGTAGGGAAACTGAGCTGTGTAGGAATGTGACGTTTGCTCACATTTGACTTACTTTATGTCCCTGAAACAACGAAAGCGACCTCTTCAGACAGTAAGGACGACATGTAGCGTGTACGGCTGCGGTTTGCTGCTGCTTCTTCTTCGTGTACGAGATTTAACGAGCTAACGGTAACATTTAACTTTAGACTGCTGTGAGCTACGAGTTTAACACTCGGCTTAACGCGGCAATATTTTATAGTATTAGGACGCGTTTAAGAGAGTAAAATGCGTCTTTTAGTTTAGTTTCGTTTTATGTCAGGGTAACGTGTTGCTTTAAATCAAGCTTGATTTTTGTGTTTATATTCACCGGAAACGTTATTTTCTCTTTAACATCGCCTTCCCAGGAAAATGCCTAAAAAGGCCAAAAAGAGAAAGCACAAGAAGTCGTCTTCGTCCTCAAGTGAAGAAGACGAGAGGGTAAGGTTACAGCGTTTGTGTACTGTAGTTGACTTTGCTGCTACATGACATGAATACTGTCCAGTCACAACAATGATTTATTGAACACACGCGTGGCAGATGTATACAGCGTCATCCTCTGCATAGATCTCAACTAGGTAGCACACAGCATACTGTTTTTGTATATCAGGGTTCAGCCCCTTCATAAGCATATATCCTAACATGCATCAGTTGCACTTAGATACACTTCCTTTATTGACAAGCATCTGTAAGACTTAAAGAGCTGTCTAGCTGTCTTACACTTCAGGTGTTTCCTGCTGTGCTGTTCTCTTCATACTCATCTGTGGCACATCCTGAGTACATACTGTACTAACCTTTGCTGAGCAGGCACGTATGCAAGTTACAAGCAGAACGTTTCTTCTAAGGCCCTAAGCTTTGCACGTTCAATGGCTTCTAGGTTAATATGTCACTAATAAAAGCCCTGTTGTATAAAAATATATTTTCCACAATACGTGTGTGTTAGTGAGAGGGAGATGGATGTAAGAGTGACGCTGGATGAGTTTACATGCCTGGGTTAACCATCCAAATCGAGGGATAACGCACAAGAGAGGTGAAGAGAAAGTGCAGAGAGAGTAAGTTAGGAGAGTAAGTTTGAGTAAGAAATAAGATAAATAAAAGTAGTCCAAACTCATTTTGATTTAAAAGCCAAGGAAGCCATAAAAGTGGGTTTTCAAAGGGTTTTGAAAGTGTCTAATGTTGGGGAGGTCCTGATGTGAGGGGCAGTTTGTTCCACAGTTCAGGAGCAGTCACAGCAAAGGCTCGATCTCCTCTGTGCTTTAATCTGGACCTTGGGACAGCTAGGAGCATTTGATCTAACCCTGATGACAGACTGACGCCAGAGTAAAGACTATTACAAAAGTCAAGGCGAGATGTAATGAAGGCATTAAGGAGGGGAGAAAAAATAACTTCACCCAGACTGAGCTCCTGATGGGAGAGCAGTTTGAGAACATGTGTGTGGAGCATGTATTCAACTCGAGAAAGAGAGAGTGCCCTTTCACCTCTTTTTAAGAAAAAGTCAACAATCCTGAAGTCGACGCAGGTGACCTTGAGGAAGTAAGATGATGAGGCAGAGCCATCTTGTAATCTGGGAGAATTTGTTGTTCAAACTTTGGCCCTGAAGCTTCCAGCTGGTGAGGGGAGGCAGCATGAAGATAGTGGGTGTTTGGGTTTGGTTTAGGGCGACGAAAACTGCATCCCAATTCCCAGTGGCACTAGGACAAGACAGGAGGCGTGGCTGGAGGTGCCAGAGTTAAAGGTTCCCAAGATTTTCATCGGAAGGGATAAGAATTGGAACTTCAACATTATGCACTACATACTGTACATTAATGCCACTGTTTTGCACATGTCTCAACTCTGTATATTTTTATATATTTTATTTATTGTTGACTCTATTTAATTTGTAAGATATGTGTATACACACACACACACACGTAGAAAAACATTTAGTATACACATCCAGAAAAATTTTTTTGCATATACTATTATATATTGTACATATATTTATTAGTTTCAGATTTAGCCATTCGTATATTTTGCCTGTTTATGTTATTGTATTTTGCACAACTCTGTTGCTTGTGAAGCTCACACACAAGAATTTCACTCACATGTGCTGTACCAATGTACCTGCACATGTGATGTGACAATAAAAGTGATTTGATTTTATTTGATTTGGGAAGAGTATATCAGAGAAACGGCTCAGGTTGAGCAGTTTGGAGACAAAATTGGTTTCGACATGTGCAGCATAACTAAGCAATACCATGACAAAAACGTTCAGAATAGGAGTGACAGGGCACTGGAATATTACAAAGTTTTCCTAAAAACAAGAAGTCCCTCATGTAAAAAATATCAAGAAAAAATGCCATTTTTTTACTGCTTTTATTTCAGCTGTAGTCTCCCTTAATTGTTGCATTTCACAAAATGTTTCATGTTTTTTATGTTATCAGATATCCAGAGGACAATATGCAAGCAACAGTTACAAAACCGCCAAGAGGAAAGAAGTTTTAAAGAGTCAGAAAAGGTTTGGTGGAATTTACATAACCATTTATTTATTTCTGCATTTTCTTAACTGGAAATTAATCGTGTTTTTTATATTATTTAAAAAAAATGTTCTTACAGCATCGTTTCTTTTTATTCTTCAAAATCTAGCTGTAAAAAGGACAAGGAAAAATCCGTTTCTTCTTCTGTTAAAGATGACTCCCAAAGCACCCGGCAGATCAAAAAACCTGTCTACAGACTGGCAAAAACACAAGCAACAGAGCAGAAACCCATTAATAAGGACAGACAATATGCAAAATCCAAACCAGACTTTGTGCCATTCCATGGGGATCATTGCTCCAGTAAAGCAAAGAATTATGTTTCAGGGAAAGATAAAACTGTCACTGGAAGCGACATTGTGGAAAGAGGATACTCAAAACTCAGTGCAGGTGCAGTCCCTCAGAGAACAGAAACGAAGTCTAAAGGTGGGTTCGATGAAAAGTCTTCCCAGAGGAGCCAGTCCAAATTAAACAAGCCTCGAGTGGGTCCCAGTTTAGTTTCTGCTGAAGTGAAAGAACCAAGGCAGGATGTGCAGAAGAGGAACTGCAGAACTGAGGACCCACCGAGGACTGGAAATCACAGCAGGTATATCAAGACCAGCAAACCTACCTCCTCCACCTCTGCTATAGAGATGTGTCAAAAGCATGAAAAAAAGGAGTTAAAGCCCCAAAGAAGTTTCTATAAAGATGATGCAAACACGTCTTCTGCCTCCATCTTAAAGAAGTCTTCCACTTCGGCCAAACACAGTGCCTCGGAAAGCAGCTCAAAGGTAAATTTCACATCAGTGTCCCGTGGTAAAGTTCAGTCATCATCAATTCCAAAGCAAATAAATCCTGGCACATTATCGAGAACCATTAGAATGTTTTATTAGGCTCAGATATAAATACACATCATCTGCATATAGGGCCACTTCGTGGTCTTCTCCACTTATATGAATACCTTTAATACTTTCTCTCTGTCTTAACCATTGTGCAAGTGGCTCTATATATAAGAAGAGGAGCAGACATTACAAATGCTTATCACTACACTGTTGGTCTTCCCTGAGATTACTATATGCCTCCCTTCTTAATAGGCCTCAGAAATGTACTCAAATTGTACTTTTTGTGATGTTAATATCACAACTCCCCTCATCCGTCCATTTTTAGAAGACGAGTAGTATGCCCTTTTGTAACCCATTCTTTTCAGCTTCTCACGTTCTGATGCTGCACGTTTTATTTTCGATAATATCTTACTTCTTTAACCAGACTTGAACCCCTTTTACATTAAATGAGACCATCTTGATGTCCTGCATGATCGTATGGTGAAAATGTGCTAAATACCTTTCTTTAAACTTGTGCATGGACAGTTTCTCTCCCTCAGAAAAAATAATGAACTCAAACATTGAATAAAAACAGAGATTAGGAAAAATACAATAAAAACAAAAATAGTCCTTCCAAGAAGAAACGAGCCTTCTCCACCCTAACAAGTTTGTGTCTAACATCCTGACTCAGGATCTAATTTTTGAACATAGTTATATATTTTTAAAAAACTCCACAGTTATTACAAAGAGAGAGAGAGAAAAGAGAAGTAAGAAGCCGACTTAACGACTCTACTAAGTAATGTGACCATAACCATGATGTAATATCAGATTTGTAAAACAATCTGAACTCTTCAGTCGTCAGTATCTCTCCTGAACATCCGAAGCTTCTCTGCAGCGGATGCGTTGGCTTTCTTGCGTATGATCAGGCGTCACTCCGGCTTGGTGGCCGTGCGCCGTGCGCCAAGCGGACGGCAACTGAATCTCTTCCTGCTGTCGGGTTGCTGTGGGGTTTTCGCGCGGTGATATTTGTTGCGTCTTTTGAAGACCTCATAGTCGTGGTCCGCAAAAATCGTACCCTTCATAGAGAACCTCCTTCTTCTGCCATGCGCTCCAAAGAACATCTTCTTTCGTATGGGAGTCCCCAAACTTCACAATGGATCGGGGCTTTTCGCGGTCAAAGCGCAATGTGCTGTCTGGTCACTGGGAAAGCCCAGCGTGTTTTTCAATTAATTGTCCAAAAATGTAATTATGTCGGCCCTTTTCTTAATCTTCACATATTCCATATATCCAAAGGTTGTCTCTGCGCGCTGCTTCTAGGCTAGCTTGACGTCCAGTCTCTTATTTAATGACAATGCCGCCTGTAGCGCCGTCTCAGTCTCTTCATTCGTCCCTCTGCCTCTTCCACTCTAGCGTCAACTCCTCTTAACTCACGTTTAATATCCGCCTGTTGTTGGTTGTTGTCTTTTCTGAAGTCGCGTAGCTCTTTCAGGATATTCAGGAGGGTGGGCTCATGCCCTCCGTGGCTAACCTTGGGTCAGGAGAGTAGCTCCAATCCACGTGGCTTTTCTGTTTCCTCATCTGTCGGAGTTGTGACTCTCTTACTTCTTGTGACTACCCCCGTTTCCATATTTAAAAGCAGTCTCCACTATTATAAGAAGATTAGCCTCGTTTAAACCATACAGGGAAAAAACAAAACAAAGCCTGTCGTTAAGAACCGGAAGTTCTTAACGATTAATTCTAGCTATGCAACGAACCCAAAGTTGCTCGGATCTTAAACCAAGGTTAAAATTTGATGCCAGGCCTTCTGGGTATGGGCAGCTCCCGCAGACACCTGATACCAACACTGACCAGGTAACATCACTCATTTAATGTTGATCCATGCTCAGTCATCTGGACCTAGCGTCTTCAGTGGGAGTCATCCAAGTCACTTCTTCAGTCTCAGCCGACTGCAGGTTTTCCCAACCTTATAAACAGTACATTTGCACAATAAACCAGCCCACCGAATGAACAATCGTTCAGTGGGCTGGTTTCAGTTCATATTGTCCACATGAACAGAATCAGCCTTTTGGGATCACTCATTTAAAACAGTAAGAAAGAACTGAAGGATAGATGTTTGTTTTTAATGGATGGCTTTTCCACAGATACAAGTGGTTGAAGAGCTTCATCTTGCCCGCTCTGAGAAGAGATTGGAGGTGAATGTCCTGAAGAGCTACGGGGAACTCACCGCTATGGACATAGATTGTCCCGAAGAAGGACCTGCAGGTACGTAAGCGTCGTCTCTTTCCTAAAGACGTTCCAATTTTATACACTCATCATGTGTCCAATTTTAAATCACACTTTGAGGAGTTTTTGGTTATTGTTTCAAAATTTCAAGTCAAGTATGTCAACTTTCAACTCACCAATTCAAACATCTGTAAGTGACAAAACTGAAATAATAGCCCAAACTTTCAACTTGTGGCAGAAGCAATTTAACACATCTAACCCACTCGTAACTTGATCCATGGTTTGACTTTTTTTAATTAATCCTTGTGTGACACATAAAGATTACGATATAAGCATCTGATTTATATATTTTAACATCTGACTTATGGATTTAGTTATTAATCTAACAAAATGGATAACTGATAAGACAACTGAGATGCTCAGCTCAAGTTAGTCTTAAGTAGTTTCTGAAATCAAGTTTCCACAAAACAATTATGTGGAAAGTAATATTATTTTTTGTGTTATTTTATTTATTGTTTTGATCATTTAAAAATAACCAAGAAATTACTGAATACAATCCAATGTTTTTTTTTCTTCACAGGCAAAAACTCGTCTCAGCAGGACCTAATCCTTGTTCTCGACACAAACATTCTCCTCAGTCACCTGGATTATGTGAAAAAGATCCGCTGTCATGGCCTCGGAGGTGTTTCACGCTATAATTTGCTATTAAAGCAGTAACTAACACTAACGGTGTTTTGTAGAATGATTTATAACATTTCATGTTGTTAAGATTTTTTCAGTCATGAGTTAAATGCTTAAGTTATCTTCAAGCAGTGTATTTAGCCTTTTATCTTGAAAATTGTCTCCATAGAACAGCGTATTGCATTTTTGCTTTCCCTAGCATAACATAATTTAGTTTTTAGACTCTATGATCACGCATCTGCTCCCAAAGAATGATTTCATCCCAGGATCAATACAGTTGCAAGAGAACTGAAGAGAAAATTTTAATTTAAAAAACGTTATGATCACTTCCACATTGCCAGATTGTATTTTTATGGATAAACTAATCAGTACTGTCTGCTTGCTCTGTGTTTACTTCATGTTCTGTTAGGCCTGGGCTTCCCCATTATCGTCATCCCCTGGGTGGTGCTTCAGGAGATGGACTCCCTAAAAATGGGAAGAGGCCTGTCAGGCTCCGTGGCCCACCTTGCGACTCCAGCCATCTCTTACATTTACAAGTGTTTGAAGAGCCGGGAACCTCGGCTGTGGGGCCAATCTATGCAGCAGGCCGCAGAGAGCAGCAGTGAGTGGAAACTTTGTCTCTATTACACATCCATTAGCCCATGTGAGAGCTGCCTGATAGGCTGTTGGGTGAATTGTTGACTTGATAAATAAATAAATGTCACCGTCACCCTCAACAACAGCGAGCACATGAAAACCTTCTATCCGTTACAAAGGAACGTAACCGTTCCAACGTTACCAGCATGACAAGCAGATCCCACCTGAGATGTTTTCCACGTGCCACAGTGGAGGAGGTGCCCTAACTTCTTCTTGTTGCATGATGTTGTTAACATCCAACCATGCAAAATATGATTTTTTGCCATTTTTCAAGTGGTCTGAAACTTTTGGTCGGGACTGTATTTTGTCATTGCTTGACTCCTCTGCACAGACACTAGGTGGCACTAACGCTGAACTCTTTCTCAAGAAATTAGTCACCATAATATACATTGTAAATATCTCAAGGGCACATTGTATCCGTGCATTCATTGCTATGTTGATATTTTGTTACATTTTAAACAAGATCTGACAAAGGAGATGATGAAGAAATGTTTTGGGTTTATTTTGGAGCCTCTACGCCTTCAGTATCTCTTTTAAAACAGGCATGAATTCTCCATCTTGTGTTTTCATTGTTGAGTCCTCCTGGTCTTTAACAGCCTCATGTCTTGTCCTTCTGTCCCTCTCTCTCTTCCTGTCTGTCTCCCCTTGTATGCAGATGGTCTGACTGCTGAGAATAACGATGACAGAGTGCTGCAGTGCTGCCTGCAGTACCAGAGGCTGTACCCAGAGTGTGCTCTCACCTTATGCACGTGAGTTATCCCTCCTCCCCCCCTACAGTAAACTGCTGCTGCTGCAGAGTGTGTCCTCTGCTGATAATGCACATGCATGTGACTGTGAGTGGGTCCAGCCAGATAGTTCCAGTTGGGATGAGAGAAAGAAAGCGAGGGCCAGACAGCTATTGGCAAAGAATAGATGTGCTGAGCACGGGAATGTGAGTTTAGTTTAGCAACTTATTGGCTCCGATTTTATGACGCAGCTATTTTGTTTTGTTTTCATCATTTTGACCTATTTCACGGCGCTGTTTCCTGCTGTAGTCATCGATTGTTTTGCTAAATCAAATTAGCGGGCAGACAGCGCTTCAGTGTCGCACAGTGAATTGATAATGAGTGTGGATGTCTGTGAAAATAAATAGTCTTAATGCCTTATCACTGCCCCCTGATTAAAAACATGCTTCTATTCTGTCATCTTCAGCAATGATAAGAATCTGTGCAGTAAAGCCCTCCTGAGTGGGGTGAAGGCACTCTGCAAGACTGACTTGGAGGCAGAGGTTGGGAGATCCAGACATGGCCTTCAGATCACTGGAGGCATTCAGGCTTCTGTGCCACCGAGCAATAACCCTCAGGTCTTATCACCAACGCTGAGCACGAGGTGCCCACCGGTTCAGCCACATGGTCAAAAGAAGGCGGGCTTTTATGTGGGAGTCCTACACAAAGGTGAGCTGGAGGTTAATGTGTTGCTTCATCATCATGCAGTAGTTAATGGCACATACTATCTATGTACTAGGAATCCCCCGCAACACATGCACTTCCTGTTTTCCTTCCCTCCCTTCCTATATTAACTGTACACAAGAAGTACACAGAGTTAGTATTACAGATATTCATTTCTAGTCATTTACTCGTATGTGCTCTGTGTCTACTGCCTAAAATCACTCAAACATATAAAATACTTGTATGTAACTGATCACAGAAAGCAAGCAGTTCAGTGAAGGAGACGAGGAGAGGACACTTAGGGACCTCAGCGGATGCATTTCTGCATTAGAAGACTGTCTGAGGGAGGTGCTGTCTGAAGTTTTGCAAGTGGAGATGAAGGCTGCTTATGATGACCTCTGGCTTGAGGTAAAATAAATAAATATGGGGAATTTCACATCACTGACACTAAAAACACAGGTTCATTAGTTAAATGTTAGGTTGTATCAATATGCTGTTATAATATAAGAAGTTACTTTAGATATGGGTACGGTGATTGATGAGCTCCTCATAAGTGACACATTCATTCTGTAAATAAAACTGTAATGTAAGTAATTGGTTCATGATATCATTCTTTGCATTAACAGATCGTTTATTTAAAGCCACCGTGGACACTTCAGGATGTCTTACAGTGTATAAAAAAGCACTGGATTGCTGTTTTTGGCCACCTCACCCATCGGAGGAAGGAGCAAACTGTTTTAAAGCTCATCAAATTTTTCAACTCAGGTAAGCACAAATATAGGTGAAAATATACTCTTATATACTCAGTGGTTACGAATAGTGAGTCTGTTATTAGCCTTATTTTGGAGTCTTGTGTGGTGATTTGAAGATTTAACAGGCAGCATTGTTGTGAAGGACATCACGTCTGTTTCTTGGATCTCGCAGGCTTGATAGAATCAGACATTCTAGATGAAAACATGATGACGACAGTTTCCTAGGAGCTTGTGTCCATATTCCCCTGAGCGTAAACAGCAGAATTTAATGTGTATAAAGGCAAATACTATATAATTATTGTAGCTCTGTAGTCATTTCAATGTTATAAACTGAAGCTTCTGATAGTCAGTTTGCCATATAAGCAATGTTTGAAACTGACGAGCTGATTATTAGCTCATCAGTTATGCAAAAAGTTACATTGTTAGGCGATGAAATGTCCAATTTCCGATACTCTGCATTATTTGTATAGAAAACGGTGCTTTCCCTGCACCTTGGCAGAGAGCGGTGGTGAAATACTGAGTCATCCCTCGAATGTAAGCCTTCCACCGCGGGGGTGTGATGTTGTCCGCCCTGCACTGTGCTAGAACCCTAAAGAACTGCGTGCAGAATCAGGTCATTTGCTAAAGTAGGAGACGGAAATGTGGGTCAGAAAGATGCTGAGTCGCCCACTGCAGCACTTCTGGGTCTTACTGCTGGATCCCCTTTGTGTATTCTTACAGTGCTGAGTGTGTGTGTGTGTCTGTGTGCATGTGTGTGTGTGTCTCTGTTTCTCATGCTCTGTGTCCACCTGTGTTTAGCTGCCCAATAATTTTTAATCCAGACAAGAATGTTAATAGATTAAACAGTGTGGTTTTGTCCTTGCTGTGTGTTTTTGTGTGTGTTTGTGTATCCTTGGTTCACATGCTTGATTTCTTGGTACCACGCAGCCTGGCTCTGTGCCAGGAAGCTGAGAGAAGGGCGAGCAGAAGGAGGAAGGGAGGAAGGCTGGATGGACTGTATCTGAGGCTAAGAACAAATCTGGGAGTGGAAAAGTACTGCAATGTGTTTGTGTGTTCTAGGCTGTGTGTGTGTGTGTGTGTGTGTGTGTGTGTGTGTGTGTTGTGTGTGTGTGTGCGCGTGCGTGTGTGTGTGCGTGTGTATTCATATCTTTGTGGGGACCAAAAATTGGAAGTTTAGTATACTTGAGGGGACCAACAGCTGTTATGGGGACCAAAATCCTGGTCCCCAAAATGTGGTTTTAGTGTCAGGGTTACAATTGGGTTGTGGTCAGGTTTAGGGTAAGCATTATGGTGATTAGATGTTTGATTTTTAAAAACAGCTGTGTTTGTGAGGACAGACTGTCTTCATACACATCTGTGAGGTAACAATATTCTCACTGTTAGGGCTACAGCTGGAAATGGAAGGATAAGCGTCCTGATAGATGTGTAGCCGTTACTGTAAAGAATTTACTTTGTTTGTTTCCTTTGCTGTCCATACACAAATGCCAAGTTAGGTAAAGGATTTTTAAAAGAACAAGATAAATAAAGATAAAAAATAATGGAAGATAAATAAAGGAGTACAAAATAAGTCAGGGAAGACAAGTGTGGAGATGTTGATGTAGATGGATGTACAAGGAGCTTAATGTGCAAAGTGTCTGACATGCAAATTGCAGTTGAGGTAGGTCAGCTGTTCAGGAGTCTGACAGCAGGGGGGAAGAAGGAGCTGTTGAGTCGGGACGTTCTGGGGTGTGTGGGGTCTTTGAGGATGGAGGCGACGCTCTGCTCTGCAGAGAGGGCAGCGGAGTCTCTGACTCTGACCTTCATATTTATAGAAAATAATGTGTTTATTGTGTAAAATGTTGACGTGCTGTAAACCTTCTTCTATGTGTGGATGTGTGTTTTCTTGCACAGTATGTGCACATGCAAGCTCCCTGTCAGTCTGCGCGTCTATAGGTTTCCACCTGACTATAACGGGAACGCAGCAGCTCTGCAGCAGAGCTCACTTTCATAATAGTTCAGTTTTTGTTACGTGACGTAAAACAGAGTTCATTTAGCTTCATTCATTTAGCACATTTTAGTTAGGTGAGATTAACCTTTATGTGCAGTCAGCTGATGGGCAGACTGCATGCATGCGTGCGTGTTTTCTCAGGTGAAACGGTGGAGCGCGAAGCCATCTCAGAGGTCGTTCAAGATGCCAAAGAGCTTGTGAACGCTTTTTCGAGAAGTTCAAAGCGCGTTCCACGAGCCGTCGCTGTACTGGACGACATTTTGAACAAGCTACGACCTCAGGTCAGCTCGAGCGCATTTGAAGACTTAATGGGTTTTTGTGTATGTTGTATCGTGGTTGTGTCTGTTTGTGTCACGTATATTGTAAGGGAAGTATTTTTAAAGTCTGATAACGAGCTAAGCATTACCCATTTTCTTATTAAACATAGCAATTTGAGTTTTTTTGTTTGAAACGTATTTTTCGTATTGTTTCTCAGCCAAATCCTCCTACGGGGGGAGAATCTCCCGCCTGCGACGTTGTCATGAATGACGATGACGATAACGGCGACTCTCACCAGGAAGTGTGGGCCGTCTTTGAGAGGATCTGGTCTCACGTGTGTCAACTAAGGTGGGCATGTTTGTTATTGGAGTGTTGGGATTATACTGCAGGTGCCATATTAGGATTACTTACTAGCACATATGCTTGGATTTATTTAAATAACTATGTCACCATCAGTTCAGAAGTTAGCGTATTCTGCAGCAGCACCGTACTATGATGATAGTGTGAGAGCCAAGTGGTTCCAATTGTGGAGGAATTACAAAAAGTGTGATTTTGCCAGGACAAAAACACACTTTGGAGTTTATTTTGTTTTTCTTTCCGTTCCGCCGACCCCCTGAAATCTTTTGCTTTCTGTTTTGTTTTAGCTTGGAGGTGTTCAAAGCTCTGGGCTTTGACCCTCACACCAGGCAGTGCCTTCAGCCAGAGGGAGCTGCTCCACCACCACAGGATGCCTTGGCCTGCTTGCACAAACTGTCCTCCATGGTCTCGCAGCTGCTCCAAGCTTTCAGCAGGTATGTCACGTCAGTTAAAAAAATACCGCTGGAGGCCCCTTCCTGTTGCTTCTTTAGATTTTAGGAGTGTGTGTGTCACAGTCACCGTTTCACAAATCTTACAGGTGCATCTGGATCCGTGTCCTTCGGTAATCTCCACAGAGGAGTGTGATCTTGCTTAACCTGTCACGCTTTCCTCATGCTTTCACAGGTGTGTCTCACCTTTGCCTCAACAAGTAGCTTTTCGAAGAAGTCCTTTAAACGGCCACCCCTCTCCTTCCTGTGCGCATGTGTTTTATGCTGTCATTGCTCTCAGGCTTCATTCGGCACCGTAGCGCAGGCTGTAATCTCCGTGACCTTGTAGCTTTGCCTTATCGCCTTTCCCATGACGCAGCAGTCTGCGCTTCAGTGTAGCGGGAAGTTTCTGGTACGAACTCTAAGAAAAATGTCTAGAATGCACTTCTTGTGCCTGCATTGTCAGCGTGTGGTATGTTCACATGTAAGAAGCGTGTTCTTATCGCACTGGGAACGACCCGAGTCAGTCTTTAGTTTGTTCTCACGTTTACATAACACGAATCATCACAGTCGTCTGCAGCGATGCGGCTGCAGTCACGTGCTTTTAATTTGTTTTCCATTCACTCGGTTCCACTCGGAAAATTCAACGAAAGCGCTTTTTCACGGAAGACATTTCACGCTGTGCAGTAGGAAGAGCTTGTGACATAACAAAGTTAAGAATCGCCGATTTCCATTTGACCGCTTCCGTTTCCCAGAGTTGTGACTCGTAGCTTGGTGTCAACCTCGTTAATCCCACCTCGCTTCTGTGCGTGGGACACAAAAAGTGACAATTATTTGTTATCTATTTCCCGGACAGCATTCAGTGTGACATTTGGGTCTCTTTGAGGGAAGGTAACAATAAACCGCTGCCATCCAAAGGTCGAGGTGTCTCCTGATGTTCAGCCTGGTGTCAGATACAAAAACAGTGTAGAAAAGCTTTTGCTCTGGTAGTGACGCGGTGTTTGTGGTGACATAAAACAATCTGCTGTTTTAAAGTATATGAAACTTCTCACAGTGCGATATCCTGAAAGCCCCTCAAACCATTTAACCCTCCGAGCTCGTCTGTTTTTATTGTTTTTGAATGGTGGGACTTCGTTACCAGATATTACATCACGTCTAACATATGATCTGGTGAAGCTGCAGATAACATTGTACAAAAGCCTCCTGACACCTTGTGCCACAGCGGCGTCCTTTTCGAACACTCCGATAATCCCGCTTTCTCTCGAGTTTGCAGCTGTGGCGTCCGTGCGTACCCGTGGGCGTGTGCGAGGCTAATAAGAGCAACTTTAAATAGATAGTAAAGTAAACACACAGTGAATTCATCAGATGGGATACTGTCTGTAAACATCTAAGAAGGACATACCAGAATATGCATAATGGCCGAATAACACGAGTGCTTTCAGTCCAGAGAAAAGCTGGAAACAAAAATGGGAACTTCTGTCACACTGAGTGACATTGCTGTGAATGCATTTCCACATTAGTGTGAAGCATGTCGAGTCAGGTCACGATTAAACACTCTTAAACTTGATGTCTGCCAGCATGACAAATATTATAAATATGAATCACTGCAGGATTTGCATTCCTGTGGATTATTATTAGCAGGAATCTGCGTGTTTGTGTGTAAATCTGCGCCAGTCCGTACGCATGCATGTGTGTATTGGGCTGCACGAACATGGTTGCCTAGGAGACAGCTGGGCTCATTTTCATGTGTTTGAGCAGAGCTATGAGTCATTCCATGCACGCTATCGCGCCGTCTTCCTCTTTTTCATTTTTCTCATTCTGCAGACACTAGATATGGATAATTTAGGACACTGTCATTTCCTATCATTTTCTCCCATTTCCTATCCTTCCACCCTCGTTCCTTGCTGTCTTCTTGTTTCTCGCTCTGCATTATCCCCGTGCGTCAGAGTAATGCACTTAATGACAGTGCGGGTTTGCATTTTATGCAGATGCACAGTTGTGGATGAATGCGCGGATAATACATGGAACTGCAAACTCATTTTGTCTGGCACAGTTTTAATCTGAGCAAATTAGTGCAATCGCAGAAGAACATTACACACCGGTTAAAACCATCCTCCAAATATTTGGTGGTCGTCTCCCTTTGGCCATAAAATCAGTTCAAACCTGTCAGAGACGAGCGCTGTGTCCGGGCCTTTGGGTTGCGCACACAGTGTGTCTGGGGGGCTCTTTGTGATGGTTCATGAACCCGAGCATTTGTTTTTCCTTTTGATATTTAGCCTTTATTCAGATATTACTTTGTTGAAATCATGTAACACGCTGTACAGGTCCAGGGACTCACTGCTGTGTGTGCTTTATAGGCTGCCGTCGTGAAATAGGGGTGTGTGCTGTGGTTTCCTTTCACAGCCATGTGAACGCATGGACGGTTAACTCGTGACACTAAATTGTCTGCATGTGTTGATGTGACAGCGCTGCTGCCTCTGTGTTAGAGGACAGACTCCAGGGCCCCAACCCTGAGCTGGCTAATCAAAACTGAAACGTATCGATCCCAGTGGGACTTTCTTGTAACAGAGATCAGTTCTAACATTGTGTTTTTCTGTTTTCAGTGTCTTGTTATCAGCTCCCGGCTTAGAAGAAGTCCAGACACTGCTCAGCATCATCAACTCCAACAATGTCAGTGGCATATGACAATTATTGGTACACAATTAGATGCACTGGACTTCGCCATGCTAAGCTCTTCTTAATGTGCTGTTTTCTTTTAGCTCAGATAAACTGCTTTCTGTTTCAGATAGTAACTGAGAATTCCAGGTTAACCGCCAAAGGCCTGCTCGACTGTTTTTCACAGCCGGACTACAGGTAGGCAATATTCATCTACATAACATAACTGTGTTTTTATTGTTAAATGTAAATGGCTGCTTTGGAGCTTGGTAAAAGCGTGACGTGGCTGCGCACATACTCAGTGATGCGTGCCATTAGCTATAACTTTCTTCTTACCAGGTATTGTATTCAAGCATGTTCTCGAAATTCTTGCGCTCTTTGTTGCAGCGTGTCCAGGCGAGTAGCTGTTACAATGAATGTGTCATGCCAACATTTCCAAACAGTCGTGCAACTCATTGTTAATATATTTCCTTGGGGAAAAATCTGTTAGCCATACCTTAGCAACCACTAAGCTGCTAGCTTATCGGTGTAGTTAGCGTGTCCTTGTCAGTTGCAGAGCCATAACTACACGCGTCTCACAGGGTGAAGCCTAAACAGGAGATCAGTGTTTAGTAACCCGGCGGCTTCATTTGAATCTTGGAGATGTAGCAGTGCTCCTGTGCAGTCTCATAGAGTAAAAGAAGGGTCACAAGTGAATTGAGTTTTGTGTCACCTCATTAAGCTGCCTTTGGATTCAAGAGCTTATTTTAACCTGAGCTCTATCTCACTGTTATCTGAATTTGAAGTAGGTCGGACTTTCAAGGAGCCTGATGAAGTGCTGAGCAAAGGGCTAAGTTCAGGACTACGCACAGAGCAACCTCTGCCCTCCTTTTATATCGTGTAACGTGACACATGAGCTTTACATTTACGCTTTCTCTGAGATTATCTCATCAATCTTAAATGCCCATCATAAACTGTTATAAAGGGAACATATTATAGGATATAAATGTCATCATTACGTCACAGATTTTGGACCGTTTTTGTCTGCTTGCAACCTTCAACGTGGTTGAGAGTGTTTAAGCTGTGAGGTGTCTTATACACACGTGCATTATCACTATGTCAGATGGTTTTATTCAACTTCTGCTTGTATTTTTAAAGTTTTAATAAACAGACTTTAATCTTACGTGAAAACTCAGCCACAGAAACAAGCAGAATCACTACACCCGTCAGTCCATTGGGATGTCAGCTGCCATGGAAACAAGTCACAGTTTTACGTATTCAACCGTCTGTTATTTGTTTAACACTGCTGCCTGACTCTCAAAAGGTTTCTCAGATCGTGACATCACTCCAGCCGTCACTGTTATTAGGATTGATTTTGTTTGTCTTCAGTCTATTGAACATTTATGGATCAGGGGAGGGCCGGTGTCCTGCAGGATGTCACCCTGGGTCAGCACACCTGAATGAGATGATTAGTTCATTAACAGGCCTCTAGAGAACTGCAAGACATGGGGGGGTCATTTAGCCATTTAAATCAGCTGTGTTGGATCAAGGACACGTCGCTGCAGGACACCGGCACAGAGTCCTGGAGTTCCCCACCCCTCATATAGATAATAATAATAATAACTTTATTTATAAAGCGCTTTCAAACAGTGCTGTACAACTATTTGAAACTACAGAG